CCCCTTCTGCCCACTGCTCTCCAGGTACATCCTCCCACATGCAGAGGATGCCGCTGGGCACTGAGTGATCAACATGTGACTGGACGGATGCACGAGTGACTGGATGACACCTCCCACTCCCCAAGGATTGCTGGGAAAGTGGAGGGCCAGGGGAGGGAGGCGTGAATCTGCAGCAGCTTCAGGCTTCCAGGAGGTGGGAGAGTAGCGCTACAGTGGGGCTGTTCTCAGAGAGCAGATGCCGGCGTCATCACACAGCAAAATGAGAAAGTGCGATTCTCCTGCCACAGCCACCTGAGTAGCTGAGATTGCAGGTGTGCACCCGCACACCGGGCTAATTTTTGTATTTTTAGTATAGCCAGGGTTTCACCACATTGGCCCAGGCTGGTCTCAAACTCCTGACCTCAGATGATCCACCTGCCTCAGCCCCCCAGCGTGCTGGGATTACAGGCGTGAGCCACCATGCCCAGCCTTTTTTCTTTTTGAAACAGGATGTCACTGTGTCACCCAGGCTGGAGTGCAGTGTTCTGATCAACACACTGCATCCTTGACTTCCTGGACTCAAGTGATCTTCCCAGCCTCCCAAGTAGCTGGGACTGCAGGTGCTCACCACTGCATCCAGCTAATTTTGTATTTTTTGTAGAGACCAGGTCTCACTATGTTGCTCAGGCTGGTCTCAAATGCCTGGGCTCAAGTGATCCTCCCGCCTCAGCCTCCCAAATCACTGGGATTACAGGAGTGAGCCATCACACCTGGCTCACAGTTACTTCTTGGATACTGACTTTCATAGATATTGCAGGATTACTGTGAGCTCCTGGTCCATGCCTAGAAATGAGGTTACTCTATAGCTTAAGGTTCCAGAATTATTTAATTTAAACCTTACTACTTGTGGACTACTTCTGTGGTCTGTTTGAAGCTTTTATTTTATTTTAAGACCAAATGTCGCTCCGTCACCCAGGCTGGAGTACAGTGGCATTATCTTGACTCACTGCAGCCTCTGCCTCCCAGGTTCAAGCAATTCTCCTGCCTCAGCTTCCCAAGTAGCTGGGATTACAGGCATAAGCCAACACACGCAACTAATTTTTGTATTTTTGGTAGCAAGAGGGTTTCACTATGTTGGTCAGGCTGGCCTCGACCTCCCGGCCTCAAGTGATCCACCCACTTAGGCCTCCCAAAGTGCTGGGATTTCAGGTGTGAGCCACCGTGCCCAGCCTGTTTGCAGCTTTTAATTTTACATTGTTTTATTAAAATTCATTGCATTTTTTTTTTAACCCAACACAAAGAATACAAATACAAACATCCCATTTAGTAAGGAGAAGCTTGGGTCTTTTTAAGGTCCCACATGGTGGCACCATATGAATTTGGAACACAGGCGCTTTCAGCCTCAGGTTAGCAAGAAAAAAGCACCCCCGGAGCTATGCAGACATGGAGTTGAGATGTGACTGCCTCAGAAGACGAGAGCTTTCAGACACCTGAGCACCAGGACCCCTTGCCTTTGGCTTCTGATTAGATTTGGCCAGTGCGGAGCAAAGGCAGAAGCAGAGGCGGGAGGAGAGAAGCCGGGACTTCCGCTCTCAGTGCCTGCCCAGGGCTCTGGAGGCACTGTTGGAAGAGACCAGACTCCTGCACGGTCCCAGTGCCCGAAGAGTGGGCCCCCCAAGCTTCCCAGTTTCCCTGGGGGATCCCAACCCTCCAGGGCCTGGTGACAGCTCTTCCTTCCCGTGTCCCTCTAGGCCTGGCGGTGGTGGCAGTTGCTACGGTTGCCCATCCCGGGCCCTTCCATTACCTGTGCTGTGCCACCAATTCCTGCACTCAGTGTCTCCTGCTCAGAACACCTGAAGAGGGCTGGGCATGGTGGCTCACGCCTGCAGTCCCAGCACTTTGGGAAGCCAAGGAGGATCACTTGAGCTCAGGAGTTCAAGACCAGCCTGAGCAGCATAGTGAGACCCCCGTCTCTACAAAAAATTTCAAAAATTAGCCCTGTGTGGTGGTGCACACCTGTAGCCCCAGCTACTCAGGGGGCTAAGGTAGGAGAATTGCTTGAGTCCAGGAGGATGAGGCAGCAGTGAGCCAAGATGGCACCACTGCACTCCAACCTGGGTGACAAAGTGAGATCTTCACACACACACACACACACACACACACACACACACACAAAGGCCCTTTAGCGCATTAAACCCTGACTGATACATCCCTCAACAGAAAGGATGCGGGGCTTTTTGTTTGCTTGTTTTAGGTTTTTTTTCTGAGACAGAATGTCACCCAGGCTGGAGTGCAGTGGCGCCATCTCAGCTCACTACAACCTCCGCCTCCCGGGTTCAAGCAATTCTGCCTCAGCCTGCCAAGTAGCTGGGATGACGGGAGTGTGCCCACCACACCCTGCTAATTTTTTGTATTTTTAGTAGAGACAGGGTTTCACCATGCTGGCCAGGCTTGGTCTCGAACTCCTGACCTCGTGATCCACCCACTTCAGCCTCCCAAAGCGTTGGTATTACAGGCATGAGCCACCGCGCCCCACCAGAAAGGACGTTTTTTAGGTGGCTTATGGAGCTGCTCTTGGAGAGCCTGGTGACTACCTAAGTGGCTGACATGGTCCAGATAAATGCACCAGTGTGACTTTTGGGACGGAGATCTGAGCAGGGCCAGCACCCCCGACAAGCCATCCAGGCTGCCGCAGGGCACAGCCACAGCCCCAGGAAGGAGCAGCCAGATCCCCTCTCACTGTCTGCCAGTTTTCTATATAATAAGCCTTTGCTTTCAGTTCTCATTGTGAAAATCATCGATGTTCCTTGCAGGAAAGCAAGCAGAAGAGAATAAATGCTGCTCTCAACTGGAACTCCCTGAAACAACCTCGTGGAATATTGTGACCTGCATTGCACTGACACAGTAGCGAGCTGGGCAGCCCCCATGATTCACTGAACACCACTTCCCCCACACAGATGCGAGTCCACAGTATGTTAAACATTAAAGCCAGTGGGGTTGACGATCAGCGAGGCTGGCTCACAGGATGTTGGGAGGTCCCCAGGTTGGGGTGCGTCAAGGGCTCTGGACAGTGCCTGGCACAGCAGATGTCCAGGTGGCAGCTGCTTTCCACTGAGACTTGAGGCTTCCGAGAGTTGGGGGCAAGGGCCTCACCCAGAGCTGAAGACCTCAGACCATTCCTGTGCGTGGGTTCCAGGCGTCTTAGAAGGACCGTGGGCCAGGGAGCCAGGCCGGGCCGGGTTTGGATCCCCATGTGTCCTTGTCACCATGTGGCCCAGCTGGAAAGCACGGTCAATTATGTTTGGGAATTGTGAAAATTGTGTGAAGTGTCTGTACACCGTAGGTGCTCAGTAAAGGTTTGTTGAGTTCGTAAATGAATGAGTGACCCGCATTCTCCGTTGCCAGTGAGTTCTGGCTGTGTCCTGAGTCCGGTGCCCCTGCAGCCCCTAACTTTGCCTCTCCGAGGAGCCAGGGTGGGTCCAGGGCCTCGGGGCCAAGGCCTGGGGCAGCTACTTCCTCAGGAGGACAGGGATAGGGGCAGGGGGACGTTCACATGCTCTGAGTGCCTACTGAGCACCAGGCACCCTGTTGGTGCCTTCAAACCAGCTCTCACTTCACCCTCACAGCAGCTCTGTGAGGCAAGCAGAGTCAGCCCCATTTTATAGCTGGAGAAACTGAGGCCCGGTGAGGGGATGTGACTTGCTCAAGGTCACTCGTGAGGCAGCAAGACGCTCGTGGGCAAATCTGAGGCCCTGTGAGCCAGGCTCAGGGGTATGTATCTGAGAAGTGAGGGAATGAATGAATGATTCCACCTGATGCCATGCTTGTGCCCAGCCCGCGCTCCTGTCCTGGCGTTTAGCATGAGAGAATGAATGAATGAATGAATGATTCCACCTGATACTATGCTCGTACCCAGCCCACGCTCCTGTCCTGGCATTTAGCATGAGGGAGTGAATGAATGAATGAATGAATGATTCCACCTGATACTATGCTCATGCCCAGCCCACACTCCTGTCCTGGAGTCTGGATGGTAGCTCTGAGACCCCTCCAGAGGGGCAGAGGCACTTGGAATGGTCACAGTTCTGGGCCCACGTGCCTGGAATGACTTGTTTTGGCCTCACAATGACTTGGGTACGGACTTCTTACACATCCCCGTTTTGTAGATGGGAAGGCAGAGGCACAGGGGTTAAGACGCTAACGTAGGTCACACGGGTAAGTGACAGGACCAGGATTTGAGCCTCGATCTCACACTTGACGCCCTCCGTGCTGGATGCTGAGCTAAGTGCTCACCAAACCCTGTCATTTACCCACAGACACCCCCGGAACTAGAGTCAGCCCCATTCTCACACGGGAACACCGAGGCCCAAAGAGGGGAAGCGTCAGCCGAGCGAGAAGGAGTCACGGCAGGCAGGTTGGGGGCTGTCTGGCCCAGAGCCTGAAGCCCTGAGCTCCCCTCCACCCTCCCTACTTGGCTGGCCTGGGCCTTGGCAGAGCCCCCACCCCAGAGCTGGCTCCAAGAGTGAGTCCTCCCGGTGCCCTACCCAGAGGGCTCCCCTCAACAAGGACGGGACTCCCAGACCCCACTTAGCCTCTGGATCTTGAGGAGCAGTGAGGGGCACCTGAGCCAGAGTGGGGAGCGTCCAGCCCAGCTGGGAGGTGTGTGGCATCCCAGGCGGGGAAGCCTGACTCCTGGGGCAGGCTAGAAGCTCTATCCTAGGAGGACAGGCCTCTTTGGGGGCTCTTCCCAGGCTGCATTCATGACAAGTTTAGCCCCTGTGAGTTTCAGGGAATGCCTTGACAGCTCCCTGGCTAGGGAGGGGGCCCTTGGGATCCTGAAATACCCCTTCCACTTGCCAGTCTCTGCCAAGGTGGGTCTCTGATCTGCTGTGTGGCCTTAGACCAGTGGCTGCCCTCTCTGGGCCTTGCTCCCAGCTGACAGCTACAGGCTCAGCCCCCGCCCCACCCTGCCTGGCACCCGCTCGATCTGGCTGAGCTCCAGAGAGCACCAGAGCAGGGCTGTCACATGCTGAGCCATGTGACTGGCAGCGGCTGGGGGCTCCATCCTGCACAGAGGACGGGGGCTCTGCAGCCACTCGCTCCCACCCTAACTAGCTACATCCTCACGGGTCACCAGTGTGGGCGTGGCCCAGAAGACTTCACTGCCCTTCCAGGTAGGCAGGGAGCTGGTGGGTGGGGGCCGTGATGAGCACCTCCCAGGTGCCAGGTCGGCCCAGAGGCCCTGGGGCCGGGAGCCAGGGAGACCCAGGGCACCAGGGAGACAGCAGCAGCACCGGGCCCAGGAAGGGGCATAAAGGAGGCTCCTCCCCACACCCGTCACCCTGTCCCCTGCCTGTCCACACCCACAGCAGCTTGGACATCATCCCCCCCACCGCATGCTGGCTTTGACAGGTGTACCCAGGGTGGGCTGGGGGCAGGCAGGGACAGGCTTCTGCACAGCTGTGGCACCTGAGGGGGATCAGGACTACAGGAACCAGCAAGGTGACACATGGCATCACGATCACCGTCCTAAGCAGAGGGGACATCCGGGATGGGTGCAGCTCCAGGTCTGGAGCAGGAAGCCCTGCCACGCACACCGCCAGCTTCACATCCCACCCCCTGTCTGGATCTGGGGGATGACAGGCTCTGTGACTGGGGTGACCCGTCGGGTGGTGTGGAGGGACAGGGAAACACAGGGCACTGGGAGACGGAGCGGGCACAAGGTGTGGTTCCTGAGACGGTATTTCTAGACTTCAGCCGTCTTTGGGTCTGACCTCTTTGTTTTGCAGAAGGGGAAACTGAGTCTTGGGTAGGGGAGTCATCAAGGGAAGGCAGAGAGCGGGGCATAGAGACTTCCTTGCTATTCCGGGACACGGAATATAACAGTCCACATGACATTTAATAAAAAATAATAACAATTCCCATCCCACGCTGGGATTCCCAGGGCCACTGCCCAGGCCGTGCTCCTCAGGCTGGCCCCTCAGCTCAGAGCTCAGCCCTGCTCTGTGGCTCTAGCCTGGTGCTCTCTGGGTGTTGGTTCCTCCTCCGTGGTCTGGGAGGGGATGTCGAGGCCCCTGAGGAGGCGGTGGTGAAATCTCCGCTTGCAGCCTCCAGCCCGCCCAGAGCCAGAGTCAGGCACGAGGCCAGGGCAGCTCCGCCCCAGGGGCCGGCCCTTGCACATTTCGTAAGGGCAGGGCCGCCAGGCAGAGCAGGACAACCGGGAGGAAGGGCGGCTTGGCAGAGCCTCAGGTATGGTATCCCGGGGAGGCTGGGGCTGTGGGGGCCGGCAGCCGGGGCGGAGTCCAGCTCAGCAGCCCCGGGTTGCAGGAGCCCAGGCCGGCCTAGGCACGGGCAGCTGCGCTCATCAGCCTGCCTGCTGGGGGAGAAAGCGGAAGGAGGAGAGGCAGGGCTGGGGAGCGGTAGCGCGTCCCGGGCACCCCACTGGCCAGCAGGCACCCTTCTGTTGTCTGAGCTGGGCTGCCATGGCCTCCTCTTCCTGGGATTCTCGGACACCCTCCAAGGGAACCAAGGGACCAGCTCTGGGCCTAGCTGCCCCAGGAAGGAATGTGCGCTTGAACCCCTTCCCTGCAGGGGTTCAAGTATCTCTTCCAGCACCAGCTGTTTCCTGGGCACCAGCACGCACGCCCAGTGCTGATGCAGGGATGCGGCCATGAATGACTCTGGAAAAGAATCGTTCTTAGCAGTGGACTTTGCCGGGGCCCAAGGAAGGAGAGGCCAGCCTGCCCCGCCCCGCCTGCAGGAGGCGCTTCTCACCCCAGAAACTGCCCCATCCGGAGCCGAGGCTGCTTAGCCTCTTTGTGGCCTGGGGCTGGGTTGGCCTAAGCCACAAGCGATCGGGTGTGCTGGTGGTTGCCCAAGGACCCCGTGGAAGGGAGGGGCTGCTGAGCTTTGCGAAACCTCATGAAAATTCAGCTTAAGGCCATCCAAAGACAAAATGACAACACATTTAGTTTTAGATCGAAATGGCTTTTATTCATGATTCGTGAATCCCGGCTGCCTCCATTCTACAAAACGGAATGAGCGCTCCCACCAGGCAATGGCAGAACAGGGGTTTCATAAGGCAGGGAGGAGGAAACGGAAAAATAGAGAGCACCCAGCCACCTAACACCGGGCCACGGCGGACTGCTCTTTTCTAAGGGCTAAGGCAGAGGGGACTTCCTGATGAGGTTGGCTCCAGTGAAACCGGCCTGTTGTTTTGGGATCTATCTGCTTCCTTAAAGCTTCCGTTTGATTATGTGGCATTTAGCATGAGTGACTCCATTTTGCCTTGGTCCGGTCTGTTGGGGCCTAGCGCAGGAACTCCATTCAAAACAACAGCTTCTCATCTTTCTTGTTTAACGAAGCTAAACTGCAGGAGGTTAGACTCGGAGACCCTGTAGTATTGGGCCTGAGGGGCCCCTGAAGCTGACTAGTGATCCCCGCCTTCTGGCTGCCCTGAAGGGGGTCCCCAGGCTCTCTGCCCACTATGTTCAGTCCCTCTGTCAGCGCATCCCTGTCCCCAGCTGGGTCTCAGGGTGATGTCCTGGTCGCCCCAACACCTGCCCTGGGTCAAGGCCGCTTCAGGCCCCTGCCTGGGAGTCTCGTCCCCCAGCACTCCCCTGGTACCTCCGCCCTCCATGGATATTGAGCACTTCCCGGGGTCCCAGCGCTTGAATCATGGGTGCCACGGGCACTGCCCCGTTTTACAGATGGGAAAAGTGAGTACACTCCCCACTCACACATGCGGCTGTTGCGGTTTGAACCCAGGTCATTGGGCGCCCAGACCATGCTATGCTGGGAGCACGCTCCTAGAAGGCCCACGGTATAGATGCAGAAACAGGCAAAGCATGAGAGAACGGGCAGAGCGTCCCTTTCCCTGAATCCAACCCACTTGATGGGCCAGGGTGTGAACCAGCAGGGCCTCCCTGCCCAGGGACGGTCCCTCAGCAGGGCCCTGCTGGGAGGCTGGGGGCAGGGCCTTGGGCACCATTCACCCCCCGGGATGTGTCCGCCCCATTCCTCCCCACTCTGTTCCTGGAGCCTGTGGGCACCCTTGGCGAGCACACAGGCTGGCACAGTGCCTAGCACGTGGGCGCCTGAGCATTGAGACCCATGGCCTTCAGGGGAAGTGGCTGGTCCTGCCCTGGTCCCCAGGCCAGAGGAAACAGAGCCGCTGTCTTCATCACCAAATGATGTGGCAACTCCCCCCACCCAGAAGCTGCGAGTCTGGGTGGCTCTTGAATGCTCCCGACAGCGGCATGGGCCACATGCCCCTCAGCCTGCGATGGGGGGCCACGCCCAGAGACCCTTGGGCCCGTCAGCCCCTGAAACTCAGTGGCTCAGTGTCAGGAGGCAAGAGGCGGTCTCAGACCCCCCAACCCAGCACTGTGGGGAGCAGCAATGGTGAGGAGGGGAGGTCGAGGAAATGGAATCCAAACAGCTCCAGACCCCCCCGTCGAAGGCAGCCCTCCCACAGCCAGCCTGCCGGAGTCCACCGGCCCTGAGTCTGATGTCCACGCCCCAGGCCAGAGTGCCCTTTCCACCAAGGCCTGGGCTGCCCTGTGAGGGAGGTGGGAGCTGGGGCGGGTAGCCTGGATTTGGGTTTTCCAGTGTGAGGAGCTGGGTGGCATCAGGCAAGCTCTAGCCCTCTCTGAGCCTCCATCTCCTTCAGTGGGGTGAATAGCGGCCCCCTCGCTGGGCGGCCATGGTGCTGAAATGGGTGAGGGCAGCACGGGTCTTACAGGCGACTTCCTTATGACCTCACACTGTACGAGAGGCACCGAGGGGGTGGGCTTGGGGGCCTGATTCAGGGATTCCCTATTCTGCGTGCCCACAGTGGCCGCCCAGTGCCCTTGGGAGGTCACAGGCCCAGGGTTCCCCCGATCTCAGGCCAAAGGAGGACTTGGCTTCTCCGCTTGCTGGGGTCCTGCCCAGCTCCCCACCCGCTCTGGGCACCCCCTAGGGGCCTCGGTCCAGAGTGAGCGACCTGTAGGGGCCATGCCAGGGCTGGTTGCCCTGTGGGGGAGATGCGTCCTGCAGCCCAGGCGAGTTGGTCTCGCTGTTGCTAGGAGGGTTGCCGGCTGTTGCATGCAGAGCTCCATGCCCCCCAGAGCTCCCAGCCCACGGTCCCCCATGCACGTTACGTGCCTTGCATTTTTGTGGTTTCTGCAGAGGCTCTTACAAAAGTCGGGAGAGGTCCAGGCGTGGAAGGTGAACGGAGAACGGAGAAGGGCCTGGGAGGGTGCGGAGCCGGGGGAGAGAAATATTTGCAGGCTGCTTAGCAAACACCCAGAGCTGCCGTTTGTCGAGTACTTTCTGTGGGCACAACGGCAAATGTTTTATGCAGCATGATGTCATGCACTCCTCACAATGACACCAGGTGCCATTAGCACCCCCATTTCACAGAGGAGGAAACTGAGGCAGAGAAGGCGAGTGACTTGCCCACAGTCACACAACCGGTAAGAGGCAGAGCCCGGAGACAGGCCTGATGGTGGCTCGAGAGGCACGTTCTTGGCTCCCAGTCTCAGTCCTGTTCCTGTGGCGGGCCATCCCCTACGGGGAACATGGTGCCTGTCCTGGGTGTGGGCAGCTGCCCAGCTTCTCCCAATCAGAGCAGGAGGACGGTGGGTTCAGCCTGGCCCCCCAGTCACTCCAGCTGAGGACTGGCCTGGGGCTCCCGACCAGGCTCTCGGCAGCACACTGTTCCAGCGGGGCCATCTTGCAGGCTGGATAGAGGGGTAGGCCCTCCAGGTAGCGACTTTACAACCATCTGCAGCCTTGCGCTCACCGAAGCGGCGCCCTGGGCTCAGAACCAACACTGTGGTCTCATCATCAGCTGGCAGGTGCCATCATTATGCCCCTAATATGAGGGGCCTTGGGCACTAGGTCTCGAGTAAGTAGGCATAGAGGGGCCTGCCTCCCAGTCTAATGGGGGGAAATGAGGGGCATGTGGACAGGGTTGGGGAGGTGGGTAAAGTGTAACCAGATGTTTATCACATGGCACAACTCAGAACAGTAGGGAGCAGAGTCAAGGGACCACTGTGACAGTGGATGGGGGCATAATCTGGGTGGGCTGCCTGAAGGAAGCATCAGCCAAGCTGAGTTCTGGAGAAAAGGAACTCAGAGCGGGAAGGAAGAAAGGATCCCCACGGATTCTTGGCACCAGGCCGAGGAACGAGTGCGTGAGTGTTCCTCGGATGAACTTCGAGTAAACAGGCAGGGCTCGGGGGAATGTCTGGGCCCCTACCCTGCCTGCCAGCCCTGGCTGACACCAGCACGGACGCAGAAACACCCTCTCCCCACGATCCGCTCCCTACTGCTGTTTTCACCACCCAGGACCACAGCCCCGGCAGGGGAGGCAGCAGGGCCTCCAGGAGGCTGAGATGTTCGCCCCTTTCCTCCTGCGGAAGCTGAGGCACCAGGAGAGGAGGCTACTGCCCACTGGCCTGGCCTCCCTGGGCAGTGCCCCCAGGCTGGGGATAGGGGAAGGCCGAGAATTCTGAGTCTAGAGTGCTCCAAGGTGGTGGCCATGGTGGCAGTGGGTGGGACACCTCGTCTACTCATCAAGCTCCTGTTTACTCCATCAGGCTGGCAGGAGTGAGGCCGCCCGCCTCCAGGAGGGGCATCAGGGCAGGGCAGAGGCCATGGCTTGGAGTTAATTTCTATGCGGCAGGAAGAAGTGTGGCCCTCTGCCTGCCTGTTCACCCTTGGGGGTGTCCCCAAGCCCACACCCAGTCCTGTGGCCACCCCCAGGTCTGTGGCAGAGGGGAGTGGTGCAAAGGTCTTCATGTGTGTCTGGGAGTGTCCCCTGTTGGTGGTAGGAGGTCACAGGCAGCCCCTGTCCCCATGGGGTCATCTGAGTGGGTCCCTGTGTGCGTATGAGGTAGGGGTGTCTGCAAGACCCTGTGGGTGCAGGCAGGTTGGGGTGCGCAGACCCTGGGGCGGCTGGGTGGTTCCCATGAAGAAGGGGCAGCCCTGGCCACCCAGTTCACACCGCCCTGTCTGGCAGGATGGACCCCTTCGAGGACACGCTGCGGCGGCTGCGGGAAACCTTCCACGCGGGGCACACGCGGCCAGCTGAGTTCCGGGCTGCACAGCTCCGGGGACTGGGCCGCTTCCTGCAGGACAACAAGCAGCTTCTGCATGACGCACTGGCCCAGGACCTGCACAAGGTGGGCTTGGGTGGGGGCATGAGAGCATGCACTGGGCAGGGGGGAGTGGGGGGCAGCTGAGACAGAGGGGGATAAAGACAGCCACGCCCTCCATGAAGGGGCTCAAAACAGCTCCTCTCCCAGGCCAGAGCCGCTCTTGCCCATTCATCCAGTCATTCATGTCTATATTCATGCAGCAACTATTTATTGAGCACCTACTATGTGCCAAGTACTGTTCTAGGCTCTGGGGATACAGCAGAGGATAAAACCAAGTTCTCATGTCTATGAAGGTGACCTTCTGTCGGAGACAATAAAACAGCAAATAAATAATTGCACAGCAAGGCTGGCTCACACCTGTAATCCTAGCACTTTGGGAGGCCGGGGGAGGAGGATGACTGGAGGCCAGGAGTTCAAGACCAGCCTGGCCAACATGGCAAAACCCCATCTCTACTAAAAATATAAAAATTAGCTGGATGTGATGGTGGGCACCTATAATCCCAGCTACTCGGGATGCTGAGGCACAAGAATCACTTGAACCCGGGAGGTGGAGGTTACAGTGAGCCAAGATCTTGCCACTGCACTCCAGCCTGGGCAACACAGTGAGACTCCATCTCAAAAATAATAATAAAAATAATAATTATAGGCCAGGCACCATGGCTCACACCTGTAATCCCAGCACTTTGGGAGGCTGAGGCGGGTGGATCATCTGAGGTCAGGAGTTCGAGATCAGCCTGACCAACATGGAGAAACCCTGTCTCTACTAAAAATACAAAATTAGCCAGTTGTGGTGTTGAATGCCTGTAGTCCCAGCTACTCGGGAGGCTGAGGCAGGAGACTCACTTGAACCCCGGAGGCAGAGGTTACAGTGAGCCAAGATTGTGCCATTGCACTCCAGCCCTGGGTAACAAGAGGGAAAGCTGTCTCAAAAATAATAAAAATAACAATAATAATTACACGGCATGTTGGGTTGAAATACATACGTGCCCTGGAGACAGGGCGAAGGAGAGAAAGGGGGTCAGGATCAGGTTGCTGTTTTATTTGTGGGGGTCAGGGAAAGTTTCTCTGAGAAGGAGGCTTTAGAGACATGAAGGGGCAGGGGAGGCTCGCCAAGGCCGCTGGGGAGATGGCAGCGGGCACAGCATGTGCAAAGGCCCTGCGGTAGGAGCTGCTGGGCATTTCTGTTTGAGGAGCAGCAAGGAGGCCAGCGTGGCTGTTGCGGGTGGGAGAGGCAGACACAGCAGGGCCATGGGCCACACTGTGTAGGGCCTTGTGGGCTGTGGGGCCTTGGGCTTCCCTCTGGGTACAGCAGGCATCGAGGCCTCTGTCTGGACCCTGGAGGCCTGGGGGCTCAGCCCCTCCCAATCCCGGCAGAACCCTAAGGACCACACTTACTCAGCCCCTCACCCAGCAGGGCCATGCACCTGCCTCCCTGCCTCAGGACATCTGTCCCAGGGGCTGCCCGAGGCTCCTGTTCTCTGGACAAAATGTCCCCTGCCTTTGCCTGGAAGGCCACAGTGTCCAGACCCTCCCCCAGCCTGCTGGGCTCCCTGGGGACTGACTTCCCTGCCACCACTGAGCCTCTGCCACTGACTGCCTGCCGGCCTCCGTGACACTTGACCTGACCGGTGCCTCTTCTCCCTTTGGTTCAGAGTCCGCCTCCTGCCTTCCCATCCCAGCTGCAGGAGGGGTGCCCTATGCCAGGAGCAGCAGCGCAGAACATTCAACCCCGTCCCTCCCTCTGGCCCCGGCCAGCCCGCTGTCCCCACCCTAGCAGGCAGCATCTGCCCACATGCACCCTCTCAGTTAACCCCCGGCTGAATGTGGTTGGGCAGCTACACCCAGTGGCTCCCAGAGGAGGCTCAGAGACAGCGCATTCTTGCCCAAGGGCACACAGCCAGGAGGAGCAGAGCCAGAGTTGGAACCTGGCTCAAAATAGGCCAGTCTCCCAAAGTCAGGTCCCAGGCGACCTAGGAGGTATGGCAGGCAGGCCACCAGGCTTGTAGGGCCGGAGCACAGGCTGTGGGAGAGTTGGTGTGGAAGGCACCGTGACCCAGCCTCAGGGGCTGGGAGGAGCTGGTGGGCATGCTGCCATCTCTTCCCTCTCGGGGCTCAGTGGAGCCTGGCCTGGCCCTGGCTCACTGAGTGACTTCAGGCAGGGCATCTCTTTCTCTGGGCTTCGCTGGTCCTCTGACCCATCCAGCACTCCACTGGCCTGTCCTCCTCTGCCCTGACACAGGACAGCCTGCACCCCGTAGCCTCGGCGCTGCCTCAGGCAGGGAGACAGCCTGGCCCCGGTGTCCCGGTCCCTGTTCTCACCTTCACGTGGACTGACGGATGCCTGGCTGGTCTCACCGCCCAGGGGTGCAGAGGGCAGGGCACACGGGCCGAGAGCAGGACAGCATCCCTGTTGATTTGGGTCTCCTCACTCCTGCTTAGAAGCCTGACAGCGGCCCCGGCCCCTGGGCTGTGGGAACTGGCAGCATTTACCCAGGGGTGGCTGTACCGGCGTCCCCTGCAGGCCAATCTCCACCTGCGCTTTGGGAGGCTGAGGTGGGAGGATTCCTTGAGGCCAGGAGTTCAAGACCCACCAGGGCAGCATAGCAAGACTGTGTCTCTGCAAAAAATCAAAAATTCGGTGTTTTTAAATTAAGATTTTTTTAAAAAACACCCTAAGTCAGCTCCATCCCTGCTCTTCCCAGGAGCCCCGGCCCCTCACCTCGCCCACTCTGCTTCCTGCTGAGCTGAAGCGGGGCGAGCTCACAGCCACCTCGGGGGCTTTGCAGCTGCCAGGGCCTCTGCCCACAGCATCCCGCCTCCTGGTACCCACGGCTGGCTCCTTCCTTGCCTTCAGGTCACTGCTCAAATGTCACCACCGCCTGGAGACCTGGACTGACCACTTTGTAAAAACAGCACACACACACACGCTCATGCGGATGAACCCACGTGCACAGCTGCAGACACCCTCCCGCAGTCTCCACCCCACCCTGCTCTGTGCTTCCCCTGGCACAGCCGCGTCCTAATGGAGCCGTCCCTGTTCTCAGCTTCACGTGGACCGACTGTGCCCTGCGAGGTCGGTGGCAGGGCAGGTCTCTCTGTTTTGCACAGAGACCGCACCTCATACAGGAAGCTTGTGCTGAACGTGGAGTGAGTGAGTGAACGAATGGATGAATGAATGAATGAATGAGAAATGGAAGCAGGCCCTGCCTGGAGGAGGCTGTGGCCTCCTGCCGATCCTGGGAACCCTGACCACCCTGACCCCACTCACTTCCTGCAGTCGGCCTTCGAGTCCGAGGTGTCTGAGATCGCCATCAGCCAGGGTGAGGTCACCCTGGCCCTCAGGAACCTCCGGGCCTGGATGAAGGACGAGCATGTGCCCAAGAACCTGGTGAGCCAGCCAGGCTGAGGTGGGTGGGGGCTCCGGGGATATTTGCTTCCCCAGGGTAGCCCCTCTGGATGAGGGCGGCTGCCGAGGGGCCGGGGTGCTGAGTACCTAATGTTCACCCCCGGCTCCCGGCCCAGGCCACGCAGCTGGACTCGGCCTTCATCCGGAAGGAGCCCTTTGGCCTGGTCCTCATCATCGCGCCCTGGAACTACCCCCTGAACCTGACGCTGGTGCCCCTGGTGGGTGCCCTCGCCGCAGGTGAGAGCTAGGCTGCCCCTTCCGGGCGTCAGTGCCACCCATGGGTCCCGGGAGGACATGGGAAACTGGCCCAGGTGGCAGAGAAGGAACTGTCTGGTTCACCGTCCCCGGGCTGTGTGGCACTGGGCCCGTCGTGTCACCTCTCTGAACTGGGTTCTGTGTCTGAAAGTGGGGGAGGCCGGCGCCTGCGCTGCGGGTGCGTGGAGGCCAGGAGCGGGCCGCGCCTCCCCAGCTGCCTCCCTGCGCCGCCCTGCAGGGAACTGTGTGGTGCTGAAGCCGTCGGAGATCAGCAGGAGCATAGAGAAGATCCTGGCCGAGGAGCTGCCCCGATACTTGGACCAGGTGAGCAGGGCTGCTGGGCAGATGGAGCGGGAGCAGACAGGCCTCGAGGGGCGGCCAGACGGTCAGACCCAAGTCTCCCACTCAATCCTGCCTCTTCTGAGTTGTAAACTTGGCCAAGTCACCACCCCCTCAGCCTCAGTTTCCCTCTGAGGAGCAGCAAGGGCAGCCTGTTGCCCAGGGGTCCTGTGTCTGCCTCCGCCTGGCCCTGGCATCAGCTCCTGCAGTGCCAGCCGGACTGCCAATGCCAGGCACCCTTAGGGAGTACCCTGCTCCCCACTTTGCCTCCGTGCAGCCCTCCTAGAGCCCTGGCCGGGTCAGGCCTGGCGGGGCAGAGGCAGGGCAGGGGCCGGTGGGGCAGGCTGCTCCTTGGGCTCTCAGAGCTGGGGTCCCTGAGGGATCCTCGCCTCCTGCCTTGCAGAGCTGCTTTGCCGTGGTGCTGGGCGGGCCCCAGGAGACGGGGCAGCTGCTGGAGCACAGGTTCGACTACATCTTCTTCACAGGTGAGGCTGGGACGAGGGCCGGGACAGGCAGGGGTCAGGGAGGACAGCCCCAGGCTCGGAGCTGGGGTCCCTCACTCTGGGAGTCCAAAAGGGAGACTGAATTCTCCTCTCTCTCTGGACCAGGCTGGGAGCAGTCCTGGACCCCCAGGACCCCTTAGGTAGGGATGGAGTCCCACGTCCAGGGCCACCCCACCATGCCATCCACAGCCTCAGGAACCACAGCCTCTGCCCACACTGCCCCCAGACCCTCATGCGTGACCCCACTGCCCCCTGGCCCTTAGCCACCACCCTACTGGTGCCCGCAGCCCTCTCTGCAGGCAGATGAGGGACTGGGGCTCAGCATGCTGCCCAGGGTCATCTGCTGGCCGGGATGGGGCAGGCGGGAATGTGCACAGCCCTGGTGAAATCCAGGCCAGAGGTCGCTCTTCCTTTTTTTTTTTTTTTTGGAACAGAATCTTGCTCTGTCACCCAGGCAGTGGCACCATCTCAGCTCACTGCAACCTCCACCTCCCGTTTCAAGTGATTCTTATGCCTCAGCTTCCCAAGTAGCTGGAATCACAGGCATGAGCCACCGCACCTGGCCTCGAGTGTTTGAGCTAATGAGGGACAGAAGGAGCGGGAGGAAGACAGTGGTGCTGAGAGGCGAGGCTGTGCCTTGCAGGTGGAGGGAATCACGGGGAAGGGCCTGGAGGATCGACCAGCCCACCTCCCAGCAAAGGCAGAAGGAGCCCCAGGGGCAAGTGCAGAGCCCCGGAAGCACTGTGCCCAGGAGGGGGCGGGGTGGGAGTAGAGAAGGGACAGTGGCTCCTGCCGCCTTTGATTCTTGACCACAAGGAGGAGAAGTGCCAGGGCCATCCCCACAGCTGCAGCAGCGCAGGCCCCCAGCGAGGTCTGGAGAGGAGGCCTTGCGGCCCAGTCGGGGCTAGGGCAGAGAGGCTGAGCGCATGGGGGAGACTGCTGGGCCCCCGGAGGCCAGCACAGAGGAGACGTGAGGCCAAGCCAGGCCGGACCTGGGGACGCCTCAGCCTGGGCCAGTCCACCTCAAGGGTGAGAAGAAAAAGGCTGGGTGGTGGCAGAACTGCCAGGTTTAGGTTTAGAGAAGCAAGATCTGAATGCCACAGACTAAGAGCTGGACCCCAGCCTGATGAGAAGGGATCCCCGAAGGCTCTGGAGAAGGGCTTTATGTAGCATTTTGCAGCGTCCCCTGCAAGGTGAGCCAGGGTTAGAAGCAGAGGCGGGAGGAGCCGAGGGGCTTGGCCCAGGAGGGGGACCCTGAGGGCCGACAGCTGCCATGCGCCTTTCCCTCCCAAGACTCTGCTCTTAGGGCTGGTCCTGGGGAAGGATGAGCAGGCCCTGGGCTGCAGGGTGGCAGTGAGGGACAAGGAAAGGCGAGGTGAGGGCTGGCACCTGCTGACTCCTTCACCTCTCCAGGGAGGAGCGGGGCCCTGGGCTGGGCCGTCTTGCCTGGTCCAGGTCACTGAACGGCCACTTTGGCTTCCTTCCACGCCCAGGGAGCCCTCGCGTGGGCAAGATCGTCATGACCGCCGCCGCCAAGCACCTGACGCCCGTCACCCTGGAGCTCGGAGGCAAGAACCCCTGCTATGTGGACGACGACTGCGACCCCCAGATCGTGGCCAACCGCGTGGCCTGGTTCCGCTACTTCAACGCCGGCCAGACCTGCGTGGCCCCTGACTACCTCCTGTGCAGCCCTGAGATGCAGGAGAGGCTGCTGCCCGCCCTGCAGAGCACCATCACCCGTTTCTACGGCGACGACCCCCAGAGCTCCCCAAACCTGGGCCGCATCATCAACCAGAAACACTTCCAGCGGCTGCGGGCGCTGCTGGGCTGCGGCCGCGTGGCCATCGGGGGCCAGAGCGACGAGAGCGATCGCTACATCGGTGAGTCCCGCTGCCCCCGCCACAGCCCACGTGGGCCGAGACCCCTCCTCACTGGAGGGCCCACAGCTGGGCCATGAATCTGGGCCCGCACCTGAAACCTGTTCCCGCTGCCAGAGCCCGGCCTTGAGCCACAGCTCCGGTGCCCTAATCTGTCTCCGTGCTTCCGAGCCTGTGGCCCCATGAGGCCAAACTCTGGTCCCTCAGCCCTGGATTCATTCACTGAGCTCAGACCCCGGGCTCCAGGGCCTACCGTGCTAAGATGAACTCCCATCCCACCACCCGCTGTCCTGAAAGGCCATGACCTCAGATTCTCCGAGCCCGTGATCCCCGGGTTCCAAACCCCGATGGCCCCATCCTGAGCCCCCCGGTCTCCTGGGCCGTACAGCTCAGCAGCTCACGGGACGCTGCGGCTCCAACATTCTTGGACGCTGTCGCCTCATGAACTCCAAGGTTCTGAGATCCCATCACTCCTGACTGTGGGACCAAGGTCGGGGGATTCTCTGGGTCCCGCAGGCCCTGGGCAGGCTGGGGAAGCCCTAGGGTCCCTTCTGGGGGCTGTGGGGAGACTTTCTTCCCTAGACACTCCAAATCCTGGAGCCTGGGAAGTCAGACCCTGGGATCCTGGCCTGGAGCCCTGGCCCTTGGCCCTGTCCCCACCGCTACCCCCGCCCCTGGGGGCTGTCCTGACTGTGGCCCCGGGGCTGAGCCGTCTCTGGTGCCCGGCAGCCCCCACGGTGCTGGTGGATGTGCAGGAGACGGAGCCGGTGATGCAGGAGGAGATCTTCGGGCCCATCCTGCCCATCATGAACGTGCGGGGCCTGGACGAGGCCATCGAGTTCATCAACCGGCGGGAGAAGCCCCTGGCCCTGTACGCCTTCTCCAACAGCAGCCAGGTGGGGGCGCAGCCGGGCTGGGCGGGGGCAGGAGCCCGAAGTGGGCAGTGCAAATGGTGGCAGCAGAGGGGCCACCAAAGTCCAGTGGCTTCAGGACTTTGGGATGGTGGTCCTCTGGACTCTGTCTCTGCCAACTGTCCTGGGAGCAGCTGAGCATCACCCACCCCAACCCTGCTCCTCGTCTGGGTCCCACTCTCCTAGGCCTTCAGTGGGTGGCTTCCTGGGGTCTTCTCTAGGGTCCAGTGTTTCCTCCAGGTCAGCCATGCCTTTGTTCTTCCTTACACATCTGGGCCTGTGGCTGCATGACCTGGCTCTGAAGGCACAGGCAACACGTCAGGATGACCTGAAGGTCCCGGTCTGAGAATGAGCCCTGATACCCGACCCCTGCTCAAGCTGCAGAGCTTCCCTGGGAGCCCCAAGGGCAGAGTCCTCAGATTAAAAAACACCAAGAGGTACCAGCAGTCCCCATGCACCCTCCCCAGGCCCTCAGACAGCAAATCGATTCCTTCCACTTGAACTCTTTTTGTTTGTTTGTTTGAGACAGTCTCACTCTATCACCCAGGCTGGAGTGCAGTGGCTCAACCTTGGCTCACTGCAATCTCTGCCTCCTGGGTTCAAGCGATTCTCCTGCCTCAGCCTCCTGTGTAGCTGGGATTACAGGCATGTGCCACTATGCCCGACTAATTTTTTTTTTTTTTAAGATGGAGTTTTACTCTGTCGCCCAGGCTGGAGTGCAGTGATGCAATCTCGGCTCATTGCAACCTCCACCTCCCAGGTTCAAGTGATTCTCCTGCCTCAGCCTTCCGAGTATGTGGGACTACTGGTGCCCACCACCACACTTGGCTAATTTTTTCTATTTTTAGTAGAGACAGGGTTTTACCATACTGGCCAGGCTGTTCTCAAACCCCTGACCTTGCGATCGGCCCACCTCGGCCTCCCAAAGTGCTGGAATTACAGGTGTGAGCCACCACACCCAGCCCTATTTTTTGTATTTTTAGTAGAGATTGGGTTTCACCATGATGGCCAAGCTGGTCTCGAACTCCTGACCTCAGGTGATCTGCCCGCCTCGGCCTCCCAAACTGTTGGGATTACAGGCATGAGCCACTGTGCCCGGCCACTTGAACTTTTTAAAATAAACTTTCTATTGAGAAATACTTTTAGATTTACAGAAAAGTTGCCAAGATAGTACAGAGAGTTCCCATGTGCCTCACATCTAATTTTTCCCATTTAACGGTGCTTAGATGGGTCAAAACTAAAAAAGTGATGGCAGGGCTGGGCGCGGTGGCTCACACCTGTAATCCCGGCACTTTGGGAGGCTGAGGTGGGAGGATTGCTTGAGCCCAGGAGTTTGAGACCAGCCCTGGAAATATAGCAAAACCCCATCTCGATGAAACATTTTTAAGAATTAGCTGCCCATAGTGGCACATACCTGTAGTGCCAGCTGCTCAGGAGGCTGAGGTGGGAGGATCTCCTGACCACAGGAAAAAACCAAACGTGACAGCAGTGCATTACCGTTAACTGCACTCCAGACTTGACTTGGATTTTACCAGTTTGTCCATTGCCCAGGATCTACGCCAGGGTCCCACGTTGCATTAAGAAGCCTCTCAGCTTGAGGAGTCCTAGACAAGTCTCCTGTAGAACATCCCCAGCCTAAGGTCATCTGGTTTATTTCACATTATTAAAGAAGGGTTACCAGTTTTAGGAGAGAATCCCACAGAGGTGAGCCTGCCTCTCACACATTAGGGGCACCTGAGATGCACACGTGGCTGGTGAGGGGAACCTTCACTATGAGGTCGGGGCAGTGTCTGCCAGGGTCTCCCTGGGAAGCTACTATCGTTTGTTTATTATTTGGAGGCAAGTCTCTAAGGCTACCCCACCCTCACCAGGTGGGAGTAATTAAACGATGCTGCTCTATCATATTATTATTACCTAGTTGTTTTATACATTCTTTCCTTATTCCGTTTGTGGTTTAGTGGAATTCTGTTGTACCGCTGTCTGATATCTTTCTCTTCCTCCTTTGTGTGATTGTTTTACAGGGCCTGCGAGTTTCAGACTTTTGTGTGTATTATGGCAAATATCAACTTGTTTTTATGTTAAGATTCCTTTGAGCCATTTCTTGCAGGACTGATCTAGTTGTGAAAAATTCCCCCAGCCTTTGCTTGTCTGGGAAAGGCTCTATTTCTCCTTCATCTATGAAGTGTAGTCTTAGCTGGATATAGCATTCTTGGCTAGCAGCAGTATCTACATCTATTTCCTGGAATTTTGTAAGAAAGTTTAATCTCAAGCCGGGCGCGGTGGCTCAAGCCTGTAATCCCAGCACTTTGGGAGGCCGAGGCGGGTGGATCACGAGGTGAAGAGATCGAGACCATCCTGGTCAACATGGTGAAACCCCGTCTCTACTAAAGACATAAAAAATTAGCTGGGCATGGTGGCACGTGCCTGTAATCCCAGCTCCTCAGGAGGCTGAGGCAGGAGAATTGCTTGAACCCAGGAGGCAGAGGTTGCGGTGAGCCGAGATCGCGCCATTGCACTCCAGCCTGGGTAACAAGAGCGAAACTCCGTCTCAAAAAAAAAAAAAAAAAAGAAAGTTTAATCTCTTGAATTGTTTATTTAGGTCAGTACGGACTCAGGTATATTTATTTGACTCCAGGGGCTGTAATCCAAGGTTGCATGGTTTGTCGGAGGCTCAGGCTTGGAAGCCCATGTTTCTGTAAGACGGCCCAGCCTCTTGGGTTGTGACCTCCTCCTTCCCCTCTGGTGCCACAAGAAGTTCCAGGCTCATCTTGCATTTCCCCTGCTCTAACTCCAGAAGCAGCCATTCCTCCAAGGAGCCCTGCTTCATCTGGATACTTTTACCTTTAGAAAATGCTACAGAGGTTTTTTGGCAGTGGAGTCATCTGGCTTCAAACTTTTCTGACCACTCAGCACTGGTCCCAGGACACACAGTCACATCTAAGATACAAGCCATGCACCAGGTGGCTTGCCCATACTACTCAGGACGCCCTCTGCCACCTTCTGCTCCATCTCCTTCATCGGTTGCCACTGCCATTGTGGGTCATGCTGGTCTCATGCCATGAAGTGACGTCTGAATCCACTGGGGGGAGTCCACTCTCCCCACATCAGACAAGCCCTGACCCAGCTGTAATCAGAGACTCTCGGTGATTGCAACTAAATATGTTGAAGTTTTTGTGCCGCAACAATTTAGTGTCTACCAATCTTTTTCTCCTTTCAGTCTTCAAGTAAACCTACAGATTGAGGAAGAAGGTCCTTTATGAAGTCAAGCAAGGGCCAAGCTTGTTTCTAAAGTGCAAATCTGACCACATCACTATGTCTTCATGTCCCTGTGCTCACACCACACAGCCCTTCAGTCTCCACTCTGTCTGGGGCGCCCTCTTGGCCTGAACAACTTCTGTCCCTCCCAAACCCTCCACTCAGCAGGCACATGACACCCCTCCCCTGGGATGCCTCCCTGCTGTCCAGCACTGCACCACTGCCACTGCACCCTCCATGTCCCCAGGCAACACTGGGTGTCCTGCCCTTACCCCCAGGCCTGAGAGTCTGTGCCCCCAGCATGGGCCACACGAGTAGAGTCCAGGCAACATGTCCCAAGTGGAAGCCCCATAAGGGGCTGCTACACAACCCCCTGCCCCACCTGTCCCACCTGTCCCACCTGTCCCATCACATGCCCTTCAGCTGACATGGTGGCCTCAGACCCTTTATGAGGCAAGACCAGTGTCACAGAGTCCAGTCTGGACCAGGCTCTGGGTCCCGAGGAGCCCAACGGGACTCAACGCAGCCTCACACGCATCCTGTTCTCTCCCAGGTGGTCAAGCGGATACTGGCCCAGACCAGCAGCGGGGGCTTCTGCGGGAACGACGGCTTCATGCACATGACCCTGGCCAGCCTGCCTTTCGGAGGAGTGGGTAGGTGCCTGCTACCCTGCCCTTCTGTTACTATATGGTCGAATTGCAACGGCGTTACCTGCATACATTCCCACCAAAAACCCCCCAGCCCCACCTCAGTGTAGAGGGACGGGCGAGGAGACCTCACCCCAGAACCTGCATCCTGCTCGCCACCCCAGAGGGTCTGAGTCCAACCTGGGCAACGTAGTGAGACACCGTCTCAAAAAAAAAGGGCTGCAGTGGAACCATCTAGATCATCTCTGCGCAGACATACAATTCAGCGACTTTTTTTAAAACCCACATAGTTATGATCACACTGCCCACTGCACAGCTGCTTGTTCTTCTCCCAACAGCACGAGCTGGCACCGGCCCCTCAGCAGCCATGCCACCGGTGTCCTTTACCCCAGGACGGCCACTCCTCTAACCCCATCCCCGCTCCAGCACCCAGTACACTTCCCGACCCTGGGAGGCCAAATGACTGCAAATCCTCCACCCTCCAGAACAGCCCCTGATGCCACTGCAGAGTCCTGGCCTCCAAGTCAGGAAGCCTCAGAGCTGGTCCCAGCAACACCCTGACAGGCCCTGTGGCCCAGGTGACACCTCCCCTCTCTAAGCTCACTTGTTCCTCAGTGAACACCTGGCCCGGGAAGGTGGCTGGCAGCCCTGCCACCCGTCCACACTCGGCACCAGAGTAAACGATGGCGGGGCCAGGCAAGCTGCCCCAGGTGGACCTACGGCCTTCCTGGAGGGCGGCCAGGGCCACAATAGTGCCTGTGCTGCTGTCCCAGCTCGGCTCAAGTTTGGGTGGCTGCCCCCGCCCCCGCCTAGCTGCCTCCCCAGCACCAGCTGCAGCCTCCTCAACCTGCTTCCCTGCCCTGGAGCAGAGTCAGGCTCTCTGCGAGCACATCTGACTCTGCTGCTCCCTCAGCAAAGTCTCCCCCAGCTCCCAAGCCCTAGACCTTCCTGGTGGCCACTGTCCCACCCTGGCTTCCCCACCTGCTGCTCCAGAAGCCTGAACTCTGCCCAGGTCCCTAAAACACCGTGTGACACTCATCTCTAAGGCTCCCCAAGCCTGGGTCCCTCTTGCCCCCAGCCACCCTCTTCCTCCCATTAACTGCACATTCCTGGGGCTCACTCACCGCAGGAAGTCCCCCAGCCAACCCCACTCCGTGCAGGCTGTGCCCTGGACACGCTGGCCTGGGGCCTCGTCTGCCTCGCGACCTAGACACTGAGGACAGCTCATTGCACACAGCACCTATTGGGTCCAGGGGTCTCAATATCCCCTCAATCCCCGCCGCAACCCTAGGAGAGAGATGCCCTTGTCACCCCATGGCAGAGGAGACCAAGACACGGTGACACGGCTTGTTTGTAGCAGGGCCAGGATCTAACCCTGGGCAGTCTGACTGTGGAATCCATGCCCTTGACCACCGTCTGCCTATCTTGCCCTGGCACCTGGTGTCCCCAAGGCTTACTGAGCTAGTGCCAAGCTCGGGGCTAAGCCCTTTATCCACAGTGCCTCATGATCAGCCCACTGGACAGATGGGGAAACTGAGGCTCAGAGAAGTGAAGTAGCCCGCCTAGGCCCCACTGTCTGTGACTGGGAGTGCCCAGGTCTGACACCCTAAGGGCCTGACCACCTGTGTTCTGCGCCACTATCCAGGTGCCAGCGGGATAGGCCAGTACCATGGCAAGTTCTCCTTCGACACTTTCTCCCACCATCGTGCCTGCCTCCTGCGCAGCCCGGGGATGGAGAAGCTCAATGCCATTCGCTACCCGCCCCACTCACCGCGCCGCCTGAGGATGCTGCTGGTGGCCATGGAGGCCCGAGGCTGCAGCTGCACGCTGCTCTGAGCCCCTCTCCAGGCCCAGGCCAGAGACCACCATAACCACTGTCACCTGCAGCTGGTGGAGACAGGGCCTGGGCTCCAGGTCTCTGAGGAGAAAAAGGATTGCCAAGGCTCCGGGGTGCTCCTCAGAGCAGCGCCTGCCTCCTCTCTCCTGGGGCTTCCCTCTCCCCATCTCAGCCTCCTACCTCAGCTGCCCTCAACTGCGAGAGCTATGGGAAACAGCTTAGTGACCGACCCCTGTCCCTGCACCAGCCACCCATGTCCAGAAGAGGACAGGCATGGCGCCTCTGGGCCACCACCATGCTGTGGAGTGGGTGGCCCAGGGGCCCTGGCATCTGATTCAGGCCACACTACGGAATTAGTATGTCCAAGGCCATCCCTACCCTCTCTGAACCTCAGTTTCCCCATCTACTCAGTAGAGAGGTTTCACAATTGATAGCTACCTCCTGGCCGGGCACGGTGGCTCACACCTATAATCCCAGCACTTTGGGAGGCTGAGGCAGGCGGATCACCTGAGGTCAGGGGTTCGAGACCAGCCTGGCCAACATGGCAAAACCCCATCTCTACTAAAAATACAAAAATTAGCCAGGCAGGGTGGTACATACCTGTAGTCCCAGCTACTTCAGCAAGCTGAGGCAGGGGAATTGCTTGAACCTGGGAGGTGGAGGTTGTAGTGAGCTGAGATCGCATCACTGCACTCCAGCCTGGGTGACAGAGTGAGACTCCATCTAAAAAAAAAAAAAAAAAAATGCCTCCTGGGTTGTTGCAAGGATTAAATGAGGGATTGCTGAGCCGGGGATCCAGATGTTGTCTTTCCTCGGTGGGGTGGCACGGAGCAGGGCCGCCTCTCTTTTCTCTAGCCAGGTGAGGCTGCGGTTATGCAGTAAGGTCTCCCTTCCCTCCAGCCCATGCCAGAGGGGCTCGGAACTCTTCATTCTCACCATATCCAGTACAGCTCATGCTCTTCCCCATCCTGCTCATCCTCCTGGGTCCCTTCCACTCAGCCAAAGCAGAATGCAGGGTTTCCTGCCTGAAACCCTTTCTCATCCCCCCACGTCCCACTTTTGAACAAGCTGATGAGTCTGAAAGTGGCCCAATTTCCTAACAAGCTGGATGCTTCGGAAACCTACATTTGGACAATGAGAGGCAGCTCCTGCAGCCTTCGGGCCACCTCCTCTTCCTGGCCTCCCGATTTCTTTTCAGACTGACTTTATCAGCCTTCAACTTTAGTAGGGGAGGGGGGGGACAGGGATGAACCTGAGTTTCATCTCCCGTCTCTCCGGCTGATGTCATCTGAATAAGGCCTTCTTCCCTGGCAATACTTACATCTTGGTGATTTGCTTTCTGTGCAGCTAGCAACAGAACCCTGAACCAAGCCCCTGGCGTTGGGTAACAATTCCGTAATGCTGCAGGACTTCCCCAATCCACGCAGGAATCACCAGGTGCAGGGCCAGGGTCAGGGTCAGGTTCTGGCCACCATCCCAAGACCTCCCTTCTCTCCAGCCCCAGCCCCTCTCCTCGGAGCACCTGCTGACCAGCCCAAAGCCCTCTCCGCTCCTCAGCCTGAGCACCCCCCCCCCCCCCGCCCAGGGTCTCCCTGTGGCCCACAGGTCCTTTGGAGGCTCAGCCATCCCCATGCAAGCCCTGAGCCACTGCCTCCTCTGCGCACACTCAACCTGCCCTTGTCCTAGTCCTGGTCTACTGCGTGTGTCCTTCCTCTACATGGGTGCCGGACATGCCCTCCATTGCCTGCTCTTCCTGGCCTGCCCACCCTCAACGCAGACCCTCCCAACCCACACAAACAGGCAGCCGCGGGGCCTCCACAGGTCCCTCTACCACAGCATCCCGGGAGGGGCCGGGCGCGGTGGCTCACGCCTGTAATCCCAGCACTTTGGGAGGCAGATGCAGGAGGATCGCCTGAGTCCAGGAGTTCCAGACCAGCCTGGGCAACATGTCGAGACTCCGTCTCTACAAAAAATACAAAAATTAGCCGGGCCTGGCGGTGGCGGGCCCCTGAGGTCCCAGCTGCTCGGGAGGCTGAGATGGGAGGTCGAGGCTGCAGTGAGCAGAGATCGCACCACTGCATTCCAGCCTGCGCCACAGTGCCAGACCCTGTCTCAAAAAAAAAAAAAAAAAAACAATTCGCGGGAAAGAAAGGAAGGAAACACAGGCTGGTTGAGGGACTGCGCCCCCGAGTCAAACGGACCAGGTGGATCAAGCGGCCGCACCCCGCAGCTCTGCGGCCCGGGAACTTTACTGAATACTCCCGAGCCTCAGTTTGTCGTCTTAACGTGATAACACAGTACTGCAGTTTCTCCACACAGGGCTGCCGTGAGGATTAAAGGAGGCCGCGTGGGCAGAGCATCTCAGCGGTATTAACCATCATCACACGAACCCACACCCCCAGTCCGGACCCGGTGGACCCACCCTCTCCGCCCAGGGCAACCAATGGGGCTTTCTAAACCACGCCCCGGATGTCCCGCCTCCAGCGTCTCGGAAGTCTTCATTTATTGGCCTCTCCAAACCAACATGGCGGCGCCCTGCCCTCTTCAAGCGCCCGCTCGCCTTCTAGCCAATCAAAACAAAGATATTTCTAAATCCCGCCTCTTTTGGCAGCCTTACTGGCCAATCTGACTACACTATAGAGCATCAATACAGAAAAGGGGAAGCCGGTCGGCCCAATGGCAGCGTGTTAGAGTGTAGGCTCCGCCTCCCAGTTGACTGCTCTGCTCGGCCGGGCAAGGCAAGTAGCGGCGGCGCTTCAAGGTGGGTGTTCACGTCTTGGCCGCGAAGGCCCCGCCTGGGCAGCGTGGCATCCGGGGCGAGTGTGGTGTTACCGTTGGAGCCGCCAGCTCTGCGCCTGGGCTGCCCCTCGGCCCATTCAGGACCCGCGGCCTCCATGCCCTTCGGGTGCAGCGGGGAGCCGGCCCTCAGGGCGCATGCGCCGTCTGCTTGGCTGCACTAACCTCTGTGGGGTCGGAGATCACGGGGAAGGTCGGGGAAGGTGCTGGGTTGGGTCCCTAGAACTGCCGTCAGTGGTCCAAAGGAGTGGGCCTGCTAGGGCTCGCATGTCGTGGGAGGAGCGCTTTTGAGCCCCGGCTAAGTGCCGGGCTCGGCTCCCCTAATTCCCAAGACCACCCGCGCCCAACCCACTTCATAGGTGAGGAGACGGAGGCTGGGGCACGTCACCTGCTCAAGGTCACGGCAGGCTGGGGGACAGTTCCAGGAGGGCCTTGAAGCTGGAGAAAAGACAGTGGTACTGAGGACTGCTCAGACCTTGAAGGGTTTCCAGCAGGGCAGGGCTGAGTTCCAATCCACCGCCCGCCCCCTAATCGTGTGACTTCCAACCCGTCACTTTTTTTTTCTTTTTTGAGAGAAGGTCTCGCACTGTCGCCCAGGTTGGAGGGCACTGGAGCGGGCTGGGCTCACTGCACCCTCCAGCTCCCAGATTCAAGCACTTCTCCCACCTCAGCCTCCCGAGTAGCTGGGATTACAGGTGTGCACCACCACGCCCTGCTCATTTTTGTATTTTTTTGGTAGAGACGGGGTTACACCATGTTGGCCAGGCTGGTCTCAAACTCCTGACCTCAGGTGATCCAGCTGCCTCGGCCTCCCAAAATGCTGGGATTACAGGTGTGAGCCACCGTGCCCAGCCCTAGCGCGTCACTTAACAAACAGCCCCAACACCTCATCTGTGCTTCCCTCGGGGAGCCCTTATAAGGGACAGGATGGCAGTGCATGCCACCCCCTTCCCTGGGCATGGTGCCTGGCACAAAGTCAGCTCTCAGTGTATGCTGGTGGGGGCCGGTAATGTTGCTTTTCTTCAGATATGGGGAGGATGAAGGGAGGCGCAGAAAGATGGGAGACAGGATCTCTGGAAGGGAGAAAGGATGGATGGATGGATTTAAAAGGTTTCTTAGAAGGTGAGGTAACACTTGGGGCCCGCAGAAACTAAACCGTAGCGCAGCTGAGCTGGATCAGGTGGAAGGCTGGGAGGCTCTGGGAACAGGAAAACCAGCTGACAGCAATGGGATAGGAGTAGAGGGCAGAGTGACCATGGGTCTCCGGTGGAGGCTCGGGATCCCTGTGGTGCCAGTCTCAGGAGAGGATGGTTCTTGGGCACACCCCACCCTCCATCCCTTTTTATGCCCCTAGATGCGCTGCTTGACCACGCCCATGCTGCTTCGGGCCCTGGCCCAGGCTGCCCGTGCAGGTAGGACCCAGGGAGTCTTTGCTGGGGGTGGGGGAGCCCAGTCTCCTGGTCTGAGGTCACGCCCCTCTTTTTGCAGGACCCCCCGGTAGCCGGAGCCTCCACAGCAGTGCAGTGGCAGCCACCTATAGTGAGTACCTGGGTGGCCTCTCGTTTCAGGCGTTCGTGACTGTCGTCCTGCCGGAGGCAGGGGAAGAGACCTGAGTTCCATTCCTGGCTTTGTCAGGGGCGTTCTTCTCTGAACGTGTTTCTGCTCTTAAAATGAGCGTGACGATGGAGGCTGACTCTGATTCACGGGGGCAGGGTTCATCATTGCCGGGGTTAGCGCGGGGAGGGGTTGCCAGGTGCGGACCATGGGTACCTGTGCCTCTTGCCAGTCCCTGGTGAAGGTAAAGGTTCAAGCCTCCCACCCACCCCCTTGATTCCTCTTTCAAGCCCTGTTGGGGGTGGGGAGGGTCTCTGGACTCAAATGCCCTCCCAAGCACAGGGAGAGGAGGGCAAGGATGGGCTCGGGCCTGAGGCAGCCTCCCAGGGTCCTTGCTGAGGCTGGGGAGAGGCGTGGCAAGTGAACGGCCCCTTTGGAGCCCAGTAGTTGCCTCTGGAAGCGAGGCCAGGCCTCCTCTCCCTGAGGCTCCAGGGAGACAGTGCACAAGGCCTCCTGCCACAGCCTCCCCACCCCCCACTTCTCTGCAGAGCATGTGAACATGCCGGAGGACCCCAAGATGGACATGAAGTCAGTGACTGACCGGGCAGCCCAGACCCTGCTGTTGACGGAGCTCTTCCGAGGTGTGTGCTGGGCAGGATGGGATGGGGGCAGTGCCGGGCGGGCAAAGATGGGAGGGGGAGGAGGTGCCCTTGCCCACCATGCCCATGCTGCCCACAGGCCTGGCCATGACCCTGAGCTACCTGTTCCGGGAGCCAGCTACCATCAACTATCCGTTCGAGAAGGGCCCACTGAGCCCTCGCTTCCGTGGGGAGCATGCCCTGCGCCGGTACCCGTCTGGGGAGGAGCGCTGCATTGCCTGCAAGCTCTGCGAGGCCATCTGCCCCGCCCAGGTGAGCCCCTGCCCCAGCCGACCACCATGCCAGCCCCTGCCACTGGGAGACGGAGGCCAGGCAGCCGTAGGCCCACACTCTGGGCATGGGCCTGGCACAAAGTCAGCTCTCAGTGCATGCTGGTGGGGGCTGCTTGATGTGTGTTCCCAGGAAAGTCCCTTTCCCTCTCTGAGCCACTTCCCTCCTGAATGGGAGTGATACAGCCTTGCTGCCAGAGCACAGTCAGTGAGTTGGCAGAGTGAAGCTCCCAGCCCCAGCAGACGCATGACACACGGAGGTTCCCCCTTGGGGTCTGGCCAGGGGTGTGACCCCTGGGCCTGTGAGCCATGGGGTGGCATCTGAGGCCGTCCACCCCTCCCTGGATGTAGCCACCGTTGCCAGGGTCCTGGCTACGTGCCTGTTGCAGGCTTCCCCTCCCCAGTGACTGCTCCTCTAAGGCCCAGCTTTCTGTTCTCTTTGGGTCTCACTTAGACCAGCGGGGGCCAGGGCCTGTCAGCACAGGACCAGAATGACTCGGTCAGAGCTCGGGTCAGACCCCTGCGTGTGCCCGGCAGGAGCCTCAGCAGCCACATCGCTACTTCCCCCACGCACAGCAACCCTTCCCAGTGTTCTGTGACTCGGTGGCTCCTGTCAAAGTCCTAGTTTGTCCCGTGGAGCCCTACTAGTCTTCCAGGCCATGAGCTGCAGCCCTGATGTCTCTGCTCCAGCCACGGACCAAGTGTGCATAGCAGTGTCCCCAAACAGCAGTCACAGTGGTCAGCGCCGTGGCTTCCAGAGAGTGAGTGCTGTCTACAGGCAGAGCCGGCGCTGTGCCTCTTGTGGACTCCCAGCCTCCTCATCTTTATAAGCACAAAAAGATGAGGCTGCCAGCCACAGGGCCCACCGTGAGTTGTGGACACTACACTTCTGGGATGAGGGTGGATGTCCTTGCCAAGCACAGCTGAAGGTCCTCCCAGCCAGCCCCTCCCCCAGCGGGCTACCCAGGACCTGAGAGTTAGGACATGCCCTTGAGTTTGAGCTGTGCCCCTCACTTGCTGTGTTGCTTTAGGGAGCCCCTCAACCTCTCGGAACCTTAGTTTTCTCATCCATCAAATGGAGAGAAGTAGATTTAAGGTACAGGGTTGCGACCAACAGTGCGGGCAGGCGTTCTCGGCGACATTGCCGGTTCGGTTCCAGACCATCGCAGTAAAGCGAGTCAAACAGATGTTTTGGTTTTCCAGTGCATATAAAAGTTAGACTTAGACTGGGCACAGTGGCTCACGCCTGTAATCCCAGCACTTTGGGAGGCTGAGGTGGGTGGATCACTTGAGGTCAGGAGTTGGAGACCAGCCTGGCCAGCATGGTGAAATCCTATCTCTACTAAAAATACAAAAATTAGCTGGGCATGGGGGCAGTGCCTGAAATCTGGCTACTTGGGAGCCTGAGGCACAAGAATCACTTGAACTGGGAGGTGGAGGTTGCAGTGAGCCAAATCACAAAAAAAAAAAAGAAAAGTTTACACTGTAAATCTTTAGGCTCCAAAGTATCTAAAACACAATGTATATACCTTAATTAAAAATACTTTAGGGGCCAGGCACAGTGGCTCACACCTATAGTCCCAGCACTTTGGGAGGTTGAGGTAAGTGGATCACTTGAGCCCAGGAGTTTGAGACCAGCCTGGGCAACATGGCAAAACCCTGTCTCTACAGAAAAAATACAAAAAATTAGCACCTGTAGTCCCAGCTACTTGGGAGGTTGAGGTGGGAGGATCGCTTGAGCCTGGGAGGTCAAGGCTGCAGTGAGTTACGATCTGGGCCACTGTACTCCAGCCCGAGTGACAAGGCGAGACTGTCCAAAAAGAAAAAATCTTCACTGCTAGAGAGTCTTGACCCAGAGTTAAGAAGCGAGCACGTGGCTGGGAAAGTGACGTCAGTGAGCTTGCTTTATGCAGGGTCCCCCAAACCTTCAATTTGTAAAACTTACAATATCTGGGAAGCTCGGTGAGGCCAGGCCAGCGTGTAACCTAGCAGTCACCTCAGGGTGAGACCCTTACGGCAGTGGGCACTGTGCCGAACAAAGCAGTGAACAGCCCCTTTGTGGGGGTGGGGTTCTTGGGACATGACACCAGCAGCTGACAAACAGGCAAGGCAGGGACGCCAGCAGGGCAGTGCTGAGGAGACAGGCGCTGATGTGGCGTAAGTGCGGGGCGGCCTCAGGGGAGGGGGCTTCCGGCAGACACCGGGGTGGGGGTGAGTTGTGACGGGGCCCAGGGGGCTGGGATGTGGCAGGCAGCTCGGCAGTTTCTGGTGGCCCCTCCTGCAGGCCATCACCATCGAGGCTGAGCCGAGAGCTGATGGCAGCCGCCGGACCACTCGCTATGACATCGACATGACCAAGTGCATCTACTGCGGCTTCTGCCAGGAGGCCTGCCCCGTGGACGCCATAGTCGAGGCACGTGGGGCCCAGGGTGGGAGGAGTGGAGGCTCTTTGGCGGGCCCTGACCACCACCCCTGCACCCCCACCTGCAGGGCCCCAACTTTGAGTTCTCCACGGAGACGCACGAGGAGCTGCTGTACAACAAGGAGAAGCTGCTCAACAACGGCGACAAGTGGGAGGCGGAGATCGCCGCCAACATCCAGGCCGACTACCTGTACCGCTGAAGCCCGCCCTCTGCCCGCAGCCTGCTGCCCAATAAAACCGCTCTACCCTACCGCCTCCCGTCTTGACTCTGGTGGGCCAAGGTGGGGCCATCCCCAGCCTGCCTCAGGCCTGTGGCACTTCCCGCTGGAGCAGGTCGCCACCAGCTCCCTGCTCTGGGGTCCTGCTGCTGCCCAGCCCTGCCCTCCTGTGGACTCCAGGGCCCCACCAGGCCCTCATGACAGCATCCCTGTCACCCTGCCTCTTCCTGGGCCTCTTCCCCAAGGTCCAGCGATACCAGAGGTCACCACAGACCTTCTGTTCCCACTGTCCTGGGTGTCCCAGCTGGAGCCTGGGCCTCGTGACTCCTAAGAGCCACCCACTTCTAAGACGGTTAAGACTTGGAGCCTCCCAAGGCCTTAGGCTGAGGGACGGCAAGTGGCAGAAACGGGCCGTCCTTGCTGGGGGTAGGAGGAAGCCTGCTTGGGGTGACAGTCACACGAGGGTGACACAGGCCCTGCTGGCCCTGAGCTGGCCTTGCCTCCAGCCACATCCTCTTTCCTCCCCGTGTTCCCCAGGCCAGGCTGCTGGCCTGACTGCTGCTCACCACTTCCTGCTTTGCAGGGTCAGCGACATGGTGGGGTTTCCCCGGGACCACACACAAGCCACTTGTCCACGTAATGGCCAAAGCAGCCCCCTTGAACTTGTGCTGAGTACTGTGGAAGGATTTCACTTCAAACCAGCTAAGAGGTGAAGGGGCTTGCTCAGGGCCATGCAGTGCACATCCCATAATAAAGCTCAGCCCAGAGACTTAACCCTCTCCCATCATTTCCAAAAGTGCTTTTTACAAAGCACTACTTCGTAAAGAGCTACTTCTCTGAAAGAACAGGGAAGGTGTTTCCTGGCCCAGTGAGTGTGGGAAAGGGTCCAGCTGCTCTCTCCCTGCTGGCAGGCACTGCATGATAGACATTCAAGGCTCTGACAAAGCCTGCGGCAAAAAAATCCAGCCTCTCCCAGCCCATTCCCAGGGAGCCTTTTATCAGGTCTTAACACCTGGGCCTCCTTCATAGGACAGGCATTGCCATCCAATGGTAAAGTGGCCGGGCCACTGCTTGGGGCCCACAGCCTGTGGCACTGGGGTGAGAAGTAACTGCAGGAGGTGCGGGGAAGCCTGGACCCCGGAAGTGGCCACAGGTCCGGCCCACAGCTCATCTTGGCTGCTGATGAAGACAGCAGCTCTTTCCAAAAATGAGGCGATCCCAGGAGGCAGGCCTAGGACTCCTGAATCGCTGCTGGTTTAGCTTTTCCCAGACGTGACTGCCGTTAGGTGCGCAGCATGGAGCCTGTAGCGGTGCGCGGAATGCTATTCCACGTGGGCGGCCTTGCCAGCTCACCCTGAGTTCTTCACCCTACCTCGGCCTCCCAGGCCCTGCTCTGCTGAGGCTCCGCCCCTGTCAGAAGAGACCTATGGCGCCCAACCGTAAGTCTCCCAATTTTCTGAGCAACTGCAGCTGAGCTTGGCTGTGACTCGGTTTCCAGGCCCGGCTCTGGGGCTCCATTTGTCCACGCCTCCCACAGCCCCCTCAGGCCTTTGCTTGCTGTGTGGGGTTTAGGGATCACCAGAGTTGAAGGGCCCCACTGGCTCCCAGTGGGAATGCCCGGGCCTGTCCAGAGTGCAGGCGGCTGAACAGTTGTGTCCCAGCTTCCAGGCACTGGGACCTGATGATCCCCAGGGAGCTGACCTGGAGCAAGGTCACAGTGACACCCCTCAGGGGAGGTGGAGCTGACAGCTGGCCTCTGTGGCCCCAGGGCATCTCCCAGGGCCTGCTGAGTGCAGGGCCCTGGGCAGAACAAGGCAGCATGACCTGGCCCTGCGTCCTGCTGCAGTGAAGCAGGCGTAGAGTGAGCAGCCACCCACCTAAGGGCCAGTGATGAGCCCCTGCCAGGTGGTCAAGAGCAGGAAGGTGTAAGCACCAGGTTTCACTGTCACGCACCCAAGGGAGGGGTCCTGGAGGTGGGGGAGCATCCTGGGGACCCCAGGCCCACGAGCCTGCGAATGTTGGGGTCCCATCAGTCATAGGCACAGGAAGCCTCGGAGTGACAGGAGAGCAGGGTCTCCTCCCCCATCCTGAGCTGGGCCTGAGCGCCGCTGCTCCCGCATCACTGCCAGCGGAGATTCACGAGGTGGGCGCTGGTCCGTTACCCGCTCCAGTCTCCAGGCCTCCTCTCCGGCATTAAGCGGCCCACGGAAGATGGCCCGCTAGGCCACAGCCTGGGCCCAGCCTCCCGCAGGCTTCCTGCACTCTGGTGGAGGCTCGGGCCGGGGGCGGGGCGTTCCTGGCCCCTCCCCGTCGCCACGCCCGTTCGGGAAGAAGTAAGTAGCGCTGGCCGCGGGCGGGAGGCGGTTCCGAGTCCCGTCCCAGCGTGCCGGAGCGGGGCAGCCAGCAGCGGAGGCGCAGCGTACAGCCCACTCGGGGTGAGTGCCCCCGCCGGGGTCGGTGGAGCCCAGCTCTGCCGGCCCACCCTCTTCTCCTGCCCACTCAGTGGGCTCCGTGAATGCAGCCCAGCCCGCCATCACGCCGGGGTCAGGCCTAGCGGGGGGTCCACGGAGGATCGCCAAGGGAGGAGAAGGATGGGGTGTTGGCCGACAGAGCCCAGCGTTCCCGGGGGTGTGCGCAGAGCTTTCCCCATCTTCCTTGGAGGGAGGGATCCATTTTCCAGATGGGGAAGCGGAGGCCACCCAACTAGGAAGTATCAGAGCTGGAGACCAGCCGGGTCATTTAACTCCAGAGCCCACACCGTTTGGAATGGAGGGGGCTCCAGACCCTCTCCTCCTGAGTGGAGGGCGGGGATTCGGAGAGACCTGGTGGGTTCCTAGAGGAGCCTTGTGAGGGGCCAGGAAAGGGACACAGGGTGAGGAGTGGACTGGAGCCTGGCCCCAAGGGCCGCAGTATGGAGGCGTATTCATTTGCATCATAAAAGTGGCTGGGTGGCCCCCGACTAGAGCGGGGACCAAGGGGGACAGGTAGTGGCTGAGCCAGTGGAGCCTCACAGGCCAGGAGTGGGAGCTGACCAGGTCCCCACACACCCCCACCCATTACAGGTTGTCCCCCCACCCCCTGGGTAGTGCCGGAGGGAGGCGAGTGGCTGTGGGAGCCCTGATGCCCTGAGCCAGGGGTGCCCCTTTCCCGGACCCCAGAGCTGACTCCCCACACCCCCTTATTTGGCTGGCACAGCCCCAGAGGAAGCCAGGTCAGACCACAACCCTTCTCCGAGCTCATCCTGTGTGCTGGGACATCTAAACCTGCGGGCCGGAGCAGGCCCTGCATGGGTCAGCCACGCCGGGCACGTGACACTGAACTTTCCCTCTCCGAGCATCTGTGGAGCCCCATGTAAAACAAGGGTCCAGCGCCCCTCCCCTGGGATTGCTCCCCCCAGGGATTAGTGTGCGGTCCTGTGGATGAAGGCATTCACTGGGGGCTCTGGTTACTTTTGTCACCTCCCTAGATCCTGTCTCTGTCAGGCGTGCCATGTCCCGTTCACCCAAAGAGGAAATAGAGGCCCAGAGAGGGAGAGAGATTTGCCCAAGGTCACACAGCCAATCTCAGCCTGGGCCCCAAATCTCTGCCTTATGGCCCAGCCTTGTCCTTAGGGATGGAACCCAGCCCCCCGGCCCCCTGCCCCAGCCAGGGCCCTGCCCGCCTGCAGCCTTGGGCTGTCCCCTCAGAGTTCTCTCATTCCCTCAGTCTCTTCTTTCCCAGGCTGGGGCTGGGGCTGCAGTTCCCTTTTAGAGTTAACTAAACCAGACCCAGGGGAGGAAGTGACTGGCTGGGCAGGCCCTGGCCAGCCCGGCAGCAGGGGGGCCCTCACCAGGCCTGTCCCCTCCCACTAATTTAAGAGCTAAGGAACTGAGTCCCACAGAGGGGTCCTGGGCCCTGAGAGCAGTGGCCTTGGAGCAGGGGGACCCAGCACCCACAGGGCCAGGGCGGGTGGGAGGTGGCCAGGCGCCCACCCCTATCCTCATCGGCCTTGAGCAAGGCCCCGGCCCTCCCCATCATTCTGCAGTTTCACTTTCTTTGGTTTCAACACTTGGAAGGCGGCTGCTCCTGCCGGCACCCCAGGCCTCAGGGAACGGGTCCCCCCACCGCAGTGCTCCCTGGCCAGCCCCAAGGGACCCAGCGGAGACACCCACCCCTGCCACTCATCACAGGCAGCCCCACAGGGAGCAGAGAGGGCTCCAGCCACCCCCGGGGCCGCCCTGGGCCTAAGTGCCTGGGGCAGTGCGGTTCTGTCTAAGGTGAGGGCAGCCCGGGAGGAGGGAGGCTGGGGTGAAGGTAGGGGTCAAGTCGGCGTCGTTTGGAGATGCTGGGGGTAGGGGCAGGGGACCCAGGGGCAGAGCCAACCTGGAGAGAGCTTGAGGTCGGCCTGAGGGTGGGCTTCAGGGTCTCCCAGTCCCACCGCTTACTTCCTGCGTGACCTCAGCACTGTGTCCAGTCTGCCCAGGCCTCAGTTTCTGCCTCTGTCAGATGGGGTGGTAGCAGTAGCTTCCAGGATTCATTGCGCGAAGGTGCACAGGTGCCCACGGTTCAGAACTGTCTGCGGTCAGCCCTGACTGGCCCCCATCCGTGTCCACCCACAGGACCATGGGCTCCATGTTCCGGAGTGAGGAGGTGGCCCTGGTCCAGCTCTTTCTGCCCACCGCTGCTGCCTACACCTGCGTGAGCCGGCTGGGCGAGTTGGGCCTCGTGGAGTTCAGAGACGTGAGTTGGGTGGGCAGGTGTGGGAGGGGGATGCTGCTGATGTTAGCCACTCCAGGATGGAGACCGCTTCCCCATAGGGCCCTGGCCCCATTTGAACCCCCGCAGCCCCTGCCATGGGTGCTTCTCCTGCCGTGGGAAGCCACGGCCGAGGCCCCTGAGTCAGCTCCTCCCCATCCCCCTGCAGGCTGTGGGGTCTGGGCTGTGCTCTCATCAGAGTCTAGTGGCTCCCAGCACCTTTAGAGGGCCTGGGCTCTAGGGTGGGGACCTCCCTGACCCCCTTCCTGGGACACTGACCCCTCCATGCGTCACCCACA